TGGGTCATTTGCTTGTATTTCCCAAAGTTGAGCCAATAATGAGACTTTTTTTCTGGAAAAGTAGGCACTATGACAATCAAAGTCGAAGACCTCAATAACAATTCTCTCTTATTACTTGAATTGTTATGTGCGCTTGGTTTGGCATTCTAAAGATGCGCCAAGCTCGCTGTCATACCCGATGGCGTGTAAATTTGTTGCTATTCCTTGTGTTAGTTGTCCTTGTGATTTTCACGTTCTTGATTTTATCTAGAACCCTAGGGCTCAAATTGCCAGAATCGCCAGAGATGAACAAAATGAATTTGTTTCAGTTTCAAGCCCAAGGGAATCCTAATCCTAATTTGAATTATTCTTCTGTGGAAATAGGTGCTGGTCCTTATCACAATTGGGAACTTTTTGCTGCCGACTATCGGGATATGTTGCAAAATTTGAAGATTTTTGTATATTCCGATGTCTCCATGAGCGATGAATCATCCCCTTTCGCTCGCATTTTTCTTCCCCTTCCTGATCCCTTTGATCCAAAAATTGGGAATTACTTCAGTGAGCACGCGTTTAAGCATGCCCTTCTACGGAGTTCTCTTGTCACCCAACATCCGGAGGAGGCTAATTTCTTCTTCATGCCCTTTTCCATCAATAACATGCGTAATCACCCACTGTTGCACTCAGAATCATCCATCTCCAATTTTGTTGCCCAGTATACGTCGAGGATAAGCTTGGAGTTCCAGTTCTGGAATTCTTCTGGAGGCGCTGATCACTTCTACATCTGCTGTCATTCAGTTGGACGAGATGCTGCCTCCAAGCATTTTGCTTTACGTAATAATGCTATCCAGATCACTTGCTCGTCCAGTTATTTTCAGAGGCTCTACACTGCCCACAAAGATATAGCGTTACCCCAAGTTTGGCCTCGACAGTACGAGCAAGTACTGAATCCTCCCGAAGCAAGGTATACCTAACCTATTTTTACTAGTGCAACTGTCCGGCAACTACATTTTAGTTTTTTTTACTTAGCAGTAGTTCAGTTATGCATTGCTGCAAATGGCTAGCCAAGAGTTAAGCAATGATGTGGCATAGATGCCAAAATCAAACCAATATATCTTATGTCTAATTATCATTCCTAAACTTGCTAACTTGATTTAGCTGAATGTGCTTTAAAAGAATTTAAAAGCAATTCAAAAGGTAATATCTTTTGTTTCTCAATTCACATTAGGATTTAGGGACTAGGGGTATACAGCTAATAACTTACCTGAGTTTCCAACTTATAGCCTAATGCCACTGTGAGCTAAAATTCTTGATAACATTAAAAATTTTGACTTTATTTTGGCTTGTGACATTATAAAGCATTCCATGCAAGAATTCTAGGATCTGGCAGATGCCAATTATAAGCCATATGACAGCTTCTGTACCAATTTTGGCCTCGAAATCTATGCTTTCCACCATTTACCCATCAGAATAGGGATGATATACTTTAATAACTTCAGCAATGACCAACAACCGCTACCACTGAAACAGCCTGAAAATTAAGAATGTAAGTGAAATAGAAAACAGAGAAAGAAGAAACTAATAAGATCATGTACTAAGCACTTTCTAGTTTCACTACCCGGCTACCCCAGTCCCAAGTGAGATATTGTTTCTTTCTTTCTCCATCTATTTGCATTGTCTGTCTCTGCAGTAACCGAGGGTTACTTATCTACTCTGAATCAATTTCTCGAATCTGATGAACTATTGCTCAAAACCTCAAACCTAAAGCGGAACGCATTTTCTCATTTTCTCCTCCCATTGACATTGCATGGTTAGACTAACGGATATTAGAATTGAAGAATCAGATCAAATACTTGACAGGTACGTTTCAGGTAACTTGAGGCTAGTCAAATCCGTGGTAAATAAAATGTGGATGAACGCTTGAAAAAATAAGATTAACAAGAAGATTGATTATGACTTTTCACATCTCTTAATGGAAGGTTATATGAAGAATTGGGAGACTTATCTCTGGCTGATTTGGTGCATGTCATGGCTACAGCATTGAATTAAATTTCTCTAGAAATAGTTTCTGCCTCTTCAGCAATCCAGATTAAGGGCCAGTTTCATGTAGATATTTTGAGAATAAATTTTGTGAAAAGTGATTTTTTAAAAATGTTTGGTTAAAATGCTAGAAAAACGTACGAGTCCACGTGCAAATTTATTTTATTGGAAAACTGTGTGGTTGAAAATAAGTTTGGAAAAATTTGAGTTCCAAAGAATCTGTATGGCTAAGTTAGAAAGAAGCTAACAATTTTATTTCTCTTAATAGAAATGTAAAAGAAAATAATGTATGCATCCTATTCTTTTTTCCTTGATGAAGAACTGCTCATGGTATTGAAAGTACTTTTGCAAGATGTTATCTTCTGTTTCAAAGGTTAACATTGATTTTAAGTGAATTTTTTTGCCATTAATTGTTCTGATTATTAGCTATAATTTTCTTGTTTAACTGCAGAGATAAACTTGTTTTCTTTGCTGGTCGAGTACAGAACTCTCAAATTCGAAAAGAGCTATTAACTTTATGGGAAAATGATACTTCTTTTAGTATATTTTCTGGGCATCCACCCTTTCCTTACAAGGAAGGGTTCAGAAGGAGCAGATATTGCCTCCACGTAAAAGGTTATGAGGTGAACACTGCCAGAGTCAGTGATGCTATCCATTATGGCTGTGTCCCTGTTTTGATATCAAATTATTACGACCTTCCATTTGCTAATATCTTAGATTGGAGCAAATTTTCAATAGTTATTAGCCAAGGGGATATAGCAATCTTGAAAAGCATACTATCATCAATTCCTAAACAGATGTACCTGAACCTTTATCAAAACCTCTGCATTGTTAGGAAGCATTTCACATGGCATACAACACCCAAAAATTATGATTCCTACTATATGACAGCTTACCAATTGAGGTTGAAAAGAGGTTTGCATAGACTGTTTTAACTAATTNATTCCTTCTATATGACAGCTTACCAATTGTGGTTGAAAAGAGGTTTGCATAGACTGTTTTAACTAATTTGTACAAAAAATTCAGCTTCATCCTATGGAACATTATACCATCATGTAAACCTACCTAGATGGTCGAAAGGTGTAAGCTACGGCTTTGGAGCAGCTTCCCTGCAAGAGAGTGCGGATTAAAAGCAAGGAGCGAAGGGTTCAAACGACCTATCAGGAATTACTGCAACCTGCAATTCTTCAAACCAAGTAATGGATTGGTCAGCTCTCAGTAATGTTTGGTAAAATACTCTCATATGTACAGTGAAATGTTTTTGGAACATTACATTTACTATTTTGATCGACCTCAATATTTAAAATATTAATATTTTAATTGAAGTACTAACTTAAAATTTGAGATTTTTAATTAACGTATTGTATACTTCTTTCAGTAAAATTTTATTTAATCTATTGAAATATAGAAATATAATTTAATTTTATATTTCATGTTTCATAGTTTGATTATAAAATTTGGTGAAGAAAAATATTATATGCATCTATGAGACTAACAATTCAAAATACTAATTTTTTAGCCAATCATATCAAATAACATTCTATAATACTGTTAATATTTGCTGCTATTTTCTTAATTTTAATTAAATTCAATATATTATTTTTAATGTCAATATATTTATAAACTCTATATTGATATTTAAATCACGTGTGAAGTTACAAAGGTGTTTGAACTTGATAATAAACCATTAAGTACTAGTGGTAAAAACTTCTACGAGGCCTACCTTTTCAATAGTTGTACAAGCATGTTTGGCTAAGCTTATAAGTGACTTAAAGGTGCTTTTTTTTTTTAGTTAAGTACAATTGTATAAATATCAATTACTGATGTTCTCTATGATTTCATTCACTCTCTAGGCTAAATGGATTGCAATTTTAACATATTAACCAATGATTTTGAAGACATATTGACTACGTGAGAATATATTATACTGCTTCCTAATGCCTCTCTGCTGTTGCATTTTAGGCATAAACCCAAGAAAAGTGCTACTTCATAAAAATAAAAAGAACTATTTATTCATATTTTAATGGACATTGGCACCCCAATAAAAGCAGGGATGGTACTGAGACCCAAAAAAGGTGCGTGCTGCTCAGAAAAAAAATTCAATGAAGATTCCTTGATATCGTTCCCAACTAAACTATACGAATGCCTCAACCTCAAGAGACGGTGTCTGCAATCCAATATGACAGATACAAAAATCTGGAGTGTTATATAATTGGACTAGGTCTAGGAGGCAAAAAACAAATATTATTGTCTCATTCTTCAAATCACGCACAGAATATTTGAAAATTTAGCATGGAAAAAGTCTGTCCATAGCTTCTAATCTTCATGATAAAGATACAAGCCAAGACCAAACCGAGCACATGCTCTGCAAAATGCTATTTCCTCTGCTGCAGCAACGGGGTCTGTAATATCTCCATCACCAGGTGATACTGTTCCAGTCGATTCACGATGAGCCTGCACTATTCATTTGTTTCTATAATTAGAATCCAATAAAGATGCTGAAAAGAAAAGAACTGTCACATAAATCAATTACTTGCTCCCTTTTTTTGCAAGGACTCTACAATTTCTTTTCTGCTCATATCACCAAAAGATAGCCAAAGTCATTGCAGTCCACGTACCACCAATCTTATCAAACCATTCACCTCTTCAGGCAATCAAACCAGTAATGACCAATTGCCCATCTTGCACATCGTAACGTAAGAATTAAAATAACAAAAAATTATCAGCACTTTTTCTTTCCTTACACATGAAGGGGAAAACAATATGAAGACGTCCCAGGTGGACCAACTCACAGTTTTTTTTTTTCTACAATAAACCAGCCAAAGAAACACCTTAGTTCTGCACAGGTGCAAGAGATGCAAGACCCCCAATGAAACTGAAAGGATCAAAAAGAGAAAATAGGCAAACCATTTAAAGCGTGGAACTATATGATTCCGATTGTCCTCTTATGGTTGCAGATGAGTGATTTCAAGAACATTTTGATGGTAATTTATGTTACCACCCAGGCACCCACAAGGACATTTCAAAAGAAGCTCACTTGGAGTACTTAACCCGAATACCCGAATTATGATGTTGAAGCAGCAACTAAGTTTGCACTTGGTAACAAAGAAGATACCCCTTCTTAAGATGATCACTAGAAGCACCCTCTAGACTGCCTAGTGCCTTTTATAAAATAAAAAAAGAAGAATGGAAATATGAGTTACAAGAAAAGATATCATAACAATCCATCATCCATAATCTCGTCTTATCTAAAAGGCTTCAACGCTGTTGTCAAGGATAGCCAACAAAGAAGACAAATCTGAAATTTCACCATCCCGCTAATTACAAACAAAATGAAAGTTTCAACTTATTGTCGACAGTTGGAACATTTTCTAAGAATGAAATATTGTAAAATCAGGGGAAAAGGCAGAAGAACTTGAGGCAACCACACCTCTTTCCAGAAACAAATCTTATCTGTAGCTTCCAGAACTCATTTTGTGAAATAAGTGTAAGAAAATAATCTCTATGATATAAATTTTCACAGGGTTCTGAAAGAAGTCAAATTCCATCTTAAGTCAAATTCCAACCATTTGGTTCATACCAACATTTGCTCCACACGACCCTACCCCACTAAGAAGAATATGCCGAAGTGAATCTCCAAGGCCATTTCCCTAACAAGCCAAGTTTTTCATTACGAGGTTTCCCTAACAAAGCCAAGGAATTGTGACATATAGTTCGATCTATAAAATTTCCCACCCTCGGTCCCAATCATAATATCTTAATTTGACTTCAATTTTTGGGTGACGTGAAACGACTGAAGATTTTTACGATTCTACAAGTTCACCTAGTCGATAAATAGGAAAAAAAAAAAAAGACAAAGTCCAATAGTTTCCCTTCTTCCCTGCTCCCATGCAAATCAAAAAGTGACCATCCAACACCACCTGCAAACATCAATCTCCATCTTATCACTTGGAAAGGTAAATTAACCTAAAACCTCTCCAAAAATACGCCGCCTCCAATTACGTACTAACTTTGTAATATATTACAAGGAAAAATGCTTAATGTGTGATGCAATACTTTCCCATTGAAAGGAAAATAAGGCTGAGGTAGTTACTAACATGTGCTTGCTATGTATTAAGGGAACAACATTTATGTCGCACTGTCAACAGCTTTCTTTGCTTCGGATGATTTAGTTTTAGCTCGGGCATGGATTGTGAATTTTAAAAAAAGGCAGATTTAGCTTCCAGGAGTAAAAGACATTTAATGAGATTTAGATTTCAAACCTAAGCTTGAAAGTAAAATATTTAATTCAAGAGTTCATGTCAAGAGACAAATTTCAAGGATGATTGTCTTATATAGTCTTTTGAAAGCTTTTAGTAGCATTTTCCTTCTGGTCTTTTGTTTCATGTGAAGGGTTTGGGGTTGGCAGTGTCAAGAAACACTGGAGTCTTCCTTTATATAGGGATAGTTTATGCAGCAATCCACAAATAACCCAGGAATGTGAACTCCAGAAGAAATTCCAGGATACATGAATAGGTAGTGTTAAGATCAAATCATTATATCTTTGGACTATCAGCTCAGGCACAAATTGGCTATTTTCTTTTCCCTGTTAAAGCTTAAAGATCTTGCTAAATTGTGTTAACTGAAAGATAAATAAGAAAAGTACCTACAATCAAATAAGTAACAGTATTATAAAAATGACAAAGATGGCAGAGGATTACATGTAAAGAAACCATACCTCTCCATCCAAACCTCGCACAGTTACACGGTACACAACGGTCACACTTCCGTTGTCAGTGAATATAACATCGCGTATTTCTCCACACCAACCTGCAAAAACAGAGTGTATTATGGTCCTATACATTTTCCTCATGTTAAACTGTGTGATTAGTATATGGAAGTTTTAGTGGGGAAAAAAATTATCATACTGCATTTGAACGGAGGGTGTAGCAGGCAGAACAGCTATTTTTTGTGTAAATACTTTCTAATATTTCCGTTGTCAATGAGGCTGGTAAATGGGTGGGTTGGGTTGGATCCAGGCAGCTTCAGAAATCAGTATGAGTTAATCGTTAATTATATTAAATTCGATGGATTTATCTAAGTGACGGGTATAAAATAGATTGAGGCACACACCCCCCCACCCCC